GTAATTTTCAGTGGTGTCAGCTGCACGATACTGCTTTTGATTTGCTATTAAACAGAATGGTTGTAGAAAGTAGGCAAATGTCACACTGATGATGAAGGTGTGTGTTACTTTTCTGGGATTTCGGATAGCCTAGAGGGAGACTTGCATCCAATTGTACTGGACATAATCCAGAAACATTTGATTTGAAACTGGTTGCCTGAAATTTCCCAGACCAAAATGCCTTAAAAGATAAAAGTGTAATAAAACAGCAATAAACTTGTATGTGCCATTGTGAAATTACACAATGGTATGAGCAAGTCTATTACTGTTTTTACTGCGATACTGTGGATTGTACATAACATCACAGTTGAAAAACTGGCCGGCCAGGAAACTGGAAATCCTCTTGTGTAGCCGGTACCGAGAGTAACACAAACCTCTCAACACAACCAAAAGAACAGGACATTCAATCACAGTTTGCCGGGCAGATTCCCTTATCATAAATTAAAGGTATGCTCCATTTGTAATTGAGGTTAGATGTACTTTGAACTCTTTCACAAGACAATCTTCTAGCAGATTGTGACTTTGCCTTTCACCCAAAAGCACAGAGCTTGGGGAGCACGGCGTTGTTAGAAGTGCCGTCCTTCCAATAAAATTGATCATTCACTTCATGGGATTTTTGTAGGACGTTTTCGTGTAGACAGTCACCTACAAATGTAGATTCACCACACTTGACATCCATAATTGAAGTGCTTGATGTTTCAACATTGTTGCAAATGAAATTTATAATTGAATTCTCTAGCTATGAAATACAAGCTTTACTCTGGAGACCAGTTTGAGAGATTATTCTATAGCATTCACATTTCTTCAGGAAGCTATAGTGTATTCTGAGTTTTCACACTTGTAATTTTAAAAATATGGATGAGATTATCATGAGTATACCCCCTCCTCCCTCCCCCCGAACTTTTAAATTGGCATTAGCCCAGAGATGTAGCTCACAGATGCTGGCTTGCACAAGCGTGACGAGACACTACCTCATGTGACGAGTGCTATATAAATGCAAGTTGTTCTAGTTGACTGTTTGACAACAATTTTATATTTTAAATCAGTGACGGAAAATGGGGGTAAAGTCTTGATGGGAAAGGATTCTCACTGAGTTATGGAACGTGAAATGTATTAAAAATGTTTGAATCTGCTATTCAAGACATTTTCCCAGGACATTTTCCCATCACTACCAGGGTTAATAGTATTAAGTTCATTCTTTTTAGGGCTGGCCAGACAGATCGCAATGGGTGGAGGGGTGGGGCGATGCCGGTTCTGCACTTTACTGTTACTATTATTAGACCTTCAGGTAATGGAATCCATGAGAAAATGTTGCAACCGTTCACCTGCTCTCTTGAGTGTCAAAGTGTTGATTGGATGGAGTTTCTCAATGAAATGGTCATTTATCTCATCGCTATTTATGGAACGTTGCTGAGTGCAGAGTGTTTGTCTACAAAGAAAACCCACTACACTTGACTGTAATTACTTGGAAAGTGCTTTGAGATGTCTTAGGCATTATATCAAATGCATAGACTATCATTAATCATTATTAAAATGACCGTATAACAATTTGCATTCATATTAACAGCCTTCATATGGATAGTGTCTTGAAGTGCTTAACAGTCAAAGACGAAGGTCTTCAGTTCAGACGGTTAAAGGAAGAGAATAAGATTCACAAATGGAATAACTTGCGTTTATATAATGTACAGTAGTACTCTTTATATTGAATAACGTCTCCTAGTGCTTCACAGTGATGGATGAACACTGAACAAAGGTGAGGTGTAGAGGCAACTTTGGAAACTAATGTACTAAATTCCAAGTTATCAGTAAAATTTTAATTTAGTGGCTGAAAGCTCACCCACCAACGGTGTGACAGGGGACAAGGAGCAGGCCCGAATTAGCAGAGTGGTCAGCAGACTAGGATTGCAGATCACAGTTGGGCATGGGTGTGTCAGTTGCCCAAGAATGATAGTTAATCTGCTGAGTGCAGAGTTGTAATAAAAAAATTTGGGTGAGCATTGTTTGAGCTTCTTCCTGACCTTAAAGTATGATTAGAGCTACTACGTCCCAGTCTGGCTCAGTCGGTAGCACTCTAATCTCTGCGGCAGAAGATTGTAGGTTCAAGCTTCACATCAGGATGGTGAGTTCAGGCTGACCCTCAATTCAAGCTCAGTGCTGGGGGAGCGCTCAATTGTCAGAGGTGCTTCTAAAAATTACATTCATATAGCACCTTTCACGTCGGAACGACATCGCCAGCCGGAGAGTTGAGGGTGAAAATGGTGCGTCTCGTTCACCTACAAAATACACAAATTCGTTGACTTTTCAGTGGGCTCTGCAAACGCTTTTGAGACGTCTTGACAATGTGATAAGGTGCTGTGTCGAATGCAAGGATCATCTTCAGTCTATTCTATATTGAACTCCCATTCAAATCCTTGTGAGGTACAGTATAGTAGCTTAATAATAATAATCTTTGCATTTGATGTAGCACTTTTCCCTTCTTCTCGGCATCTCAAAACGCTTCACAGAAATAGACTGTAAAGTCCTGGTGCTCAGTGGTTAGAGCACTCGCCTTGCAAGCGAGACACCCGGGTTCAATTCCAGGCTGGGGGTGAAATCTTGGCTGCGGCGTTTCGCCCACAAATATTCGGTCAATTCACTTTGCGGCATATTCTGTGAAGCGCTTCGAGACCTCGAGAAGACGCGAAAAGCACTACGTCACATGCAAGGATTATTATCATTACAGCGAATCGACTGTATATTCCCGGGTGAAACGCGGCAGCCAATCGCGCGCGGCAGCGTCCCACCCGAACGGCCGCGGGTTTTTGAAATTACCGATTTATTAACCGTTTTGTGTTTCCGGAGGGATGAATTATCAGGAGCGTCGCGTTGCGTGGGCGGAGTTGGGAAACTTGCCCGAGGGTTTGGCCGGGAATCGAACTGGCGAGGCGAGTGCTTTAACCGCTGAGTGAGTGGGGTGGGTGTGTGTGTGTGGGGGGGGGTTTATTTGTAATTATTCATTACCATAAAACAAAACACATGGGAACAGACACAAGGCTTTGATGTGTGTGTGGGTGTGTGTGTGAATGTGTGGGCGTGTGTGAGTGTGTGTGGGTGTGTGAGTGTGTGTGGGTGTGAGTGCATATGTGGGTGTGAGTGTGTGGGCGTGAGTGAGTGTGTGTGAGTGTGTGTGTGAGTGCGTGGACGTGTGAGAGCGTGAGTGGGAGTGAGTGTGTGTGAGTGTGTGTGGGTGGGTGTGTGGGAGTGAGTGAGTGTGTGGGTGTGAGTGTGTGTGAGTGTGTGTGGGAGTGAGTGTGTGTGTGTGGGAGTGAGTGGGTGTGTGTGGGTGTGTGGGAGTGAGTGAGTGTGTGTGGGTGTGAGTGTGTGTGAGTGAGTGTGTGGGTGTGTGAGTGTGTGTGGGTGGGTGTGTGGGAGTGAGTGTGTGTGTGTGGGAGTGTGGGTGTGTGTGGGAGTGTGTGTGGGTGTGTGGGAGTGCGTGTGAGTGGGTGTGTGTGAGTGTGTGTGTGTGTTTGTGTGAGTGTGTGGGTGTGAGTGTGTGTGGGTGGGTGTGTGGGAGTGAGTGTGTGTGAGTGTGTGTGAGTGTGTGTGGGAGTGAGTGGGTGTGAGTGGGTGTGAGTGAGTGTGTGTGTGAGTGTGAGTGAGTGAGTGTGTGTGTGTGAGTGAGTGAGTGTGTGTGAGTGCGTGTGTGTGTGTGTGTGGGTGTGAGTGAGTGTGTGGGTGTGAGTGTGTGGGTGGGTGTGTGTCCAAGAGAAAGATGAACATTAGCAGGTGCTAATCACACTGGTGCCATGACACACGACGCTGGATCACAGCCCGTTGGGGGGGGAGTTGGGGAGGGAGAGGAGGAGGAGGAGAGGGTTTACACACCGAACAAACCAACAAGACACCCTTTTTGCCTCGACAAGAGGGGGGGGTCGACACCACGGCAGGACATCACACGTCACGTCACATCACGGCCTTCGAGCGGACCCCCCACCCACCCGCTCGCCCGCCCGCCGGATCGGGGACGCGCGCGGCTGCTGCGAGCTCGGCACGAACGGCAGCCGACACCCGAGGCCTTTTTTGGGGCCTAATTTTAATTTGGATTCAAATGTAATATTAATGACCCTCCCCCCCCACACACACCCACCATCTCTCCCTTGTAACCCGCCCCCACACCCCCCTATTTATTTACATCTTTTAATCGGGGTTTTTTTTTATAATTCTCCGACTGCGACGCGAAGCGGTCGGATCGCTGACAACCTTTTCGGCGTTGACTGACTGCCCGCGCGCGCGCGCGCGCCCGCCCGCCTCGCTCGCTCCCCTTCACCGCGCAGGCGCCCGCCCGCGCGCCTCGCGCGAGACAGACCGACCGACCGACCCGGCCACGTGACAGCCTCGGACGGCTCCATTCGTTGGGAGGGGGTCCACCCCGCCGGACTAGTGCACGTATATCCTTTTTTTTTCCAAAAAAAAAGAATCGTCCCGCGGCCCAACTGGAAGGCGGAAGCGCGAGAAGAGAACCGAGACGAATTACTCGCAGCGGTCCGGCTACTTGTTTTATTTTCTCTACCCGCTCTCTCTCCCCCCCCCCTCACCTCACCACCCACATCGCTCCCTCCTGGGGAGTCGGAATGGTCGCGCCGCAGCGTTAACTGAGCCTCGGAGTTGGGGGCGGTACAAGTGGGCTATGATTGACGGCGGCGCTGACCAATCCGGGCGTCGCGGTGCCACAGGCAGCGGTCAGTCAGCGAACAAAATGGGCGGGTCTCGAGGGGGAGGGCTGGCGCTGACTGGCTGGCGGCGAGATGTCAGGGGCTCTGCCGCACTGGCGGGTGGGCAATGTAGTCCCCCACGTGGCGTTTTGCTGTGCAGCCCCGGTTGGAGCGAACCACAGCTCCCACAAAGCAACGCACGGAAGCACGCCCATGCGCACTGGCGCCCGTCAGCCCTTTATATAAAGGGGGGCCGCCCGAGTGGCTGGAGCATCAGTTAGTGGGAGGTAGGCAGGTGGTGGTGGTGGCGGCTGCACGGTTGGAAATGTTGTAAAGCCCGAAACGAGGCACACAAACAGAGGGCGCTCAACTCGGGGGTTAGGTGGCCGGGGGTGGGGGGGGCGTTTAACGAAACTTTAACCCGGGGAGACGGGGACGGCTAAGAAGCTCGGGCAGGAGGGGGGGGCGGGTTGAAAATGAGCGAGCCGGTCGCTCTCGCCGAAGCGGGGGGTGAGGCGCCAGTGGCGGCGGCGGCGGCGGCAGTGGTGGTAGCAGGCGGGCGGCAGCAGCAGGAGGAGGAGGAGGCGAGGGAGAAGGAGGAGGAGCAGGAGCGCGAGACGCCTGCGCGCGAGCAACCGCCGGCGCCTGCGCGCGAGCCGCAGTCGACGCCGACCGTTGGGGGCGGCGCGGACGGCAGAGGGCGAACGTCTCCTCCGAAGGCGCGCGGCGGCGGCAACGATGGCGGCGGCGGCGGAGCACCACCTCAGGCGCGGCGCCAGCCGACGCCGGGCAGCGACGGGGAGGTTCACTCGGCCCCGGGCAAGAGGAAGCACCGGAGGCGCCCGTCCAAGAAGAAGCGCCGCTGGAAGCCCTACTTCAAGCTGACGTGGGAGGAGAAGAAGGAGTTGGACGAGCGGGAGAGCGTGAGGGCGGCCAAGACCAGGGCCGAGATGTTCGCGAAGGGCTTCACGGTGGCGCCGTACAACACCACCCAGTTCCTGATGGACGAGCACGACCGCGAGGAGCCCGACCTGAACCCCGGCTTCTGCCCTCACGCCGTGGCCGCCGCCGCGGCCGCCGCCGCCGCCCACCACCACAAGCGCGGGGCCGGCAAAGCGGACGACAGCAGCGGCGAGGACGACGAGCTGCTGCTGCTGGAGGAGGCGGAGGAGGAGGAGAGCGGCAGCGACGGCATGGGGGGCTCGGGCAGCGAGTTCCTCCAGAGGGACTTCTGCGAGACCTACGAGCGGTACCACGCCGAGACCCTGCAGAACATGAGCAAACAGGAGCTGATCCGCGAGTACCTGGAGCTGGAGAAGTGCCTGTCCCGGCTGGAGGACGAGAACAACCGGCTGAGGCGCCGGCTGGACGGCCAGAAGCAGCAGCAGCAGCAGCAGCAGGCGGCGGCCCGCGGGCCGGAGGCGGCCGGCGGCGGCGGCCCGCGGGCCGACGAACTGGCGCGGGAGCTGGAGAAGCTGCGGGGCGAGAACCGGAGGCTGCTGAGGGAGAGCGAACTGTGCCACCGGGAGGGAGAGCGAGAGGGAGAGAGAGAGCCGCCCCAGGAGTAGTGCGGAGTGAGCGAGCACTTGGTCTGTTTCTCTTGTGTGTGTGTGTATGTGTGTGTCTCTCTCTTTCTCTCTCCCTTTCACCTTCTCCCTCCTCCCTCCCTCCCTCCCTCATCCGCTCCTCGAGTGAGCTCTGTACCCCTCTGTAAATATTTTTAGTCCCCCTCCCCATCCCCTCCTCCTCAACCGCCCCCCCTCCACCTCCACCGACTTTGTATAGTTTCTGAACTTAATTGTCATTTTTTAAAAAAAAACTTCTTCTCGTTCTGGAGGGTTTTTTTTTCTTCCTCTCTCTCTCTCTCTCTTTCTCTCTCTCTCTCGTTGTTGTTTTTGGAGCTAATTGGTTTTGCTTTTTGCGATCTTAAAAATATATATCAAATGGGGAAAAAAAAATGAAAGCGAAGTTGAAAAAAGAAAAAAAAAATGTCGGGGCTGGTTCTTGAACCTCTGAATACCGGTTGAAGTCTGCGCCAAATGCAAATGGTTTGCTCGAAAATATGCCCCGGTGATCAGGTGGTGATTTTTTTTTCTCTCACAGGTTAACCAATACCTTCTCTCTCTTTTTTTTCCCCCTTGATCCAATGTACAAATTCGATCCAAGTGTACAAACTGTAGGGGTGTGTTTATTTATGGGGTTTTTTTTTTAAAAAAAAGAAAAGTGGGTATAATTTTTCGCAAAGGTAATTTGTAAATTACCTTTTGTTGCCTTTTTGTAAATTTTTACTGATCTGTATTTTTGCCAAATTTGATCTCTTGGATAATACCCTCTCTATGTGGTCTGACAAAACTCTGTATATCATAGGTTTTATCAGTTGTTTTGAGCCCTCTGCATGCCAGACACGTAATATACCCCCAGCCTTGCTTTCAAATGTCAGCGTAAAGATTTTAAAACAGTTTACTAATGTTTTGTACCGCACCTCTGTAAGCGGCTTCCAGCAAAAGTGCATCAACAGAAACCAATTAGCCCAATGTTCTGTAGAAGCTTTCAAATGCAATGTTTTGCTTCTGGTAGGGATTTGGGAGTCTTGTGTATATGTGCGCGTATGTATGTGTGTTAATGCATCAATCCATCTTGAGCTTTGCTATTAAGTTTTTTTTTAAAAAAAGAGAAAACTCTTGATTTGCCTAGAAAGTATAAAGCTGTACTAAGTACATTGCATACTGCAATTTTTGTTTTTACTGTTAACACAAGAAGCTGGGTTACTTTCCAATCTTGCTGAAGAGGACATTTTTTTAAAAATGGAGAATATTTCCAAATGTGTGCCTTTCAATGGCTCCATATTCCATTACTAAGAATAAAATTAGTGTGTCTCTTCCTCTCTAAATTGATCTTGATCTGTTGTCTTATTAAAATTTATTAAATCTTCAGGGTTCTGACCCGGAACACATGACTGCTGGTGCTGTTTCATATGAGGAGCTACAAAATGTCACCCTGTGGAGACCTGTGTATTATTAAACTAGTAGGGCTGGGAAGATGCCTGGGTTTAAATGATACTCGTCCATTGCTGCTTCAGTCCAAAGTTGTGGAGTCCTGTAGCTCAGTGGTTAGAGCACTCGCTTTGCAACAGAAAAGACCTGAGTTCAATTCCCGGCAGAGGGCGAAACCTTGGGCAGGTTTCCTTACTCCACACAGAGCCAAATAATAGTCCCTCCAAAACCAAAAACAATGATAAATTGGTCATTTTCAATCTACGACTGTCTGTGGGACATTGCTGTGCGCAATTGGCTGCCGCGTTCGCCCACAAATATACAGTCAGTTCACTTTACAGTGTGTTCTGTGAAGCGCTTTGGAACGTCCTCCGGACGTGAAAAGCACCATATCAAATGCAAAGATTATTATTATATAAAGTAAAAGTAGTTCTTTTTGTAGATTACTGCAAAAATTATCACTAACTTTTGCGTATAGGTATAGTGGAGCAGGAAAAGGTGAGGTGACATTCTTGTCTGTAAAATCACTTTGGAAAGCGTTTGCTTGTGCTTTTTGAAAGAACTTGTGGGTTTAGTCCTAACTTAAATAGGTCTACAATATACACATTCACTACACTTTTGACAGCTTTGATCAATGTGGGGAGGGAGGAGACAGCACAAGCTTCAAGGTGACGTGTCTGGCAGTTGGATTTGGGTTGATCCTTCTAAATTTCATTAATCTGGTCCCTGATGACAGGCAACCAGATATTCTGGCTCATTGGCAGGGTGTGGAAAGGCAGAGTAGTCAGGGCAGGGACTCTTCCAATTTGGCTCATGTTAATCCTGCAAAGCAATCACCCTAATGGGGAAATTTGCCAGATTCTGTTCATAATGGCAAGCGGTGGTATCATCTGGTGAAGCTTCAGCTCCACCCCAACACACTGGAGTCTTGAAACCTTGGTTCTTGTCCACCTGCAGCATAATAATAATCCTTGCATTTGATATAGCACCTTATCACGTGTGAGATGTCTCAAAAGCGCTTCACAGAATAAAGTGAATTGACTATATTTTTGTGGGTGAAACGCGGCAGCCAATTGCACACAAATGTTCCAGGATTGGGTCGCCAAGGTACCTGGGAATGATGTGCATTCTACTCCAGACTTCAGGAACATTTTCATCAATGTGCAGGACGCTATTAATTTAGTTTGGGGATTCTTGGGGGAAGGGATCTACAAAATTGACAATCTAGGTTTCTGAGGCCTGACATTATTGTAATTTTAAAATTGTGCAGCAAGATTTCAGTCTTCATAATTTCAGTCTTCAGAGATGCCGGTTAACACCCGGTTTCCAAATTCAGACTCGAGTTAAGAATTTCCATCGTCCTACATGATAAATTATAAGACAAAGTGGTCTTGCGGACTGGAACTGGGTGTTGCGTCAAGAAATACACTGCACTAGCAAATGTCCACAACACGACAACAACTTGCACTTATACATCACCCCTCATGCAGAGTGGTGTCTCGGCCTCTTCACGGCGACAGCCTGACGCCAAGGCTATTACTAACATTGGCCATTGTTTAACGTGTTGTTTACACTGGGAAAGAGGCCTATAGAGCTCTGTTTGCTAAAACAACTGCACGCGCTTAAAATATTCACAAAAGAATAAACTATCCAAGACCTCTGCATTGACTCAGCCCGTCCCAGTGTAAGCAATTGAATTGATCCTTCCCCGAAAGGAATTCACTTTCTCCCCTCCCTCCCTCCCTCCCTCCCTCCCTCCTGAGGCACAGGGACATGTTTGAGCATGTCCTTTCGGTGGGAGTTAGTGAGTGATCAGACAGTAATTATAACTGCTGATGTGAAGCTGACTTTGAGGTGGAAAATCTTGAAAGCTCAGAGAGAATGTTACAGCTTCTTCAGTGCTGATAGTTCAGTTGAAGCCTTATTTAGATCGATTTAGTTTTCAATCTTGGGGTACTACTGAGGTGCCAGTGCTACTTACCGTTGCCTTTGGCAACAAATTAAATTTTAAATTGGCTGCTGTGATTCACCCACAAATATACAGTTTGCCCTCTATATTCTGTGAAGTGCTTCGAGGTGTCTCAATGACGTGATAAGATGCTATATCAACTGCAAGGATGGATATTATAACTGATACTACATTGTATCATATTATTGACAGGAATCAGTGGACTTAAATCAGTTTTCCTGGGATATAAACTTGCATTATCCATCCCCATGGATGTGTATGTGAGACTGGTTTCAAAGGGTGTTCAGTCAAAGGCAAAAGCATCCTGTCCAGTTTCGATTTCTCTTTGTGCCCATCTTCTATGTATGTTGTGGGTGAAACGCAGTAGCCAATTGCGCATAGCGGTGTCCAACAAACAATCATGGATCTGCTAATCGACTAACAACTGGGTTCATACTTACTACTGGGTTAACAGAGGAGCGTGGAGTAAGGAAACAATTACCTGCTCGCCTGGCTAGGAATCAAACACGGGTCCTTTCGATTTCCAAGCAAACACACCAACCGCTACACTATGGGATTCCACATAATTCTCCAACTCAATTCTCAGCACGGTTGTGATGAATCTCAGGCTGCTGAGTTAAGCACTTACTTACCCCCTCGATGATTCCCCCAAAACAGTACAAAGGAGGGGCTCTGTGCCCCTCAGATGCCAAACTTTCCCTTCCACAGATGTACAACGTGGGTCGACGCCGTCAATTACAAGTAGGAAACTTTTGGGTCTCGGTGCAGGACAGCAAGGGCAGACTAGGAAGCTTAATAAACAACAACAGACTGTGGAGTTGTGTTCCAAGCGTTCTGGTGGTGTGGACACAAGTGGCAGAACAATAAATGTGAAATAGTTTCGTTGGTACTGTTTCTTGATAGCAGTCGAGGTTAATGAGAGAGCAGGTGTGTTAGCTCAACTTGGGGCTGCAGCTGAGTACTGCACGCAATGTTGGAGCTTGTCTTCTTTCAATTAACACACTAAACAGGATCCATTGGCCTGTTAAGGTTCAGGGTAAAGATCCCACTATTGAAAAGGTAAAGGGAGTTTCCCCCGGAGTCCTGGCCCAGAGCCCTTCGGATAAACTGGGCATCGACTGCGCGGCTGTTTGCGAGACTAAAAATAAACCAAAGGCAAACACTCCGGGTTGAATCCATTCGTAAGTATGGCCTTTGGTAAAGGTCCTTCACATTTTTAATATAATGGATATTATTAGTGTTCTCTTGTCTGGACTGACTGTGTTTGCTGATGGGTTTTGCAGGAGTGTTATTCCAAGTGATTTTACGGTCGGTATGTGACTGCTAGAGGATATCATAACACAATACTGTACCTAGTTTGGAATGAAACTCAGCCCCTGGGAAGAGACTGACGGAGCTAACATAAAAATAAGACGTCTACAGCAATCGTAGGTGGTTTAGAGAGACCACTGGGTCGAAACTTGTTACAGCTACACAATGACAACAGTGGGTTACAATATAATGCTCCCAGTGTGTAGGATAGCATGTGTCACTGGGTGGTAACGTTGCATCGAATGCAAGTCGAGATCACTCATGCCTGCAAAACGCTGCCTGTGCTTTTCACGCTACGTGCAAGCGAAGCTCAAGAAGAGTGGCTCAATACGGTTGCCAGCGGCACTGCGCTGGAGCATCACCCTGGATTATCAGGAGCTCACTCGGCACGGCAGGACGGAGGGAAAACTGGTCAACGACAACTTGCATTTATATAGCGCACCTCATGCAGGGTAGAGCCAGAGCGCTTGACTGGGGGGAGCACGATGCCGAGCCTATATAATAATAATAATAATAATAATCCTCGCATTTGATATAGCGCTTTTCACGTCGGGAGGACGTCCCAAAGCGCTTCACAGAACACACTGTAAAGTGAATTAACTGTATATTTGTGGGCGAACGCGGCGGCCAATTGCGCACAGCAATGTCCCACAAACAGTCGTAGATTGAAAATGACCAATTTATTATTGTTTTTTGTTTTTTTTGAAGGGATTATTATTAGGCTCTGTGTGGAGTAAGGAAACTTGCCCAAGGTTTCGCCCTCTGCCTGGAATTGAACTCGGGTCTCTCACTTGCAAAGCGAGTGCTCTAAACACTGAGCTACAGGACTCCACAATATATATATATATATATATATATTTGCAGTATATTCTGCGAAGTGGCTTGAGACGTCTTGAAAATGTGATAAGGTGCTACATCAAATGGAAAGGTTATGATTATATGTGTTCTGTAGAAGACCGAAGATGGAGGTGTGATCTTTAAAACACCACTGTGTGTGTACATGTGCGGCAATTGAAAAAAAAGGCCTCGGATCAAACTGCGTTTGGTGAGGACGTGTTTTTTTATCAAATCCAGACATTCCAGACTGGGTAAATCCCGTTGGGGCCATCCCCTCACTCAGAATCCATTGTACAAACACTTGCCGTTGCCTTCCCCGAGCTCACGTTTTGCTGTTTGGGGAAAGCTTTGAAATGGAGGAGATTAGTAATGCTTTCGAACGTTGCTCTGCAATGCAACTTTTCCAACAGCTGTTTTTATTCCCTTTTTTTTAAAAAAAAGTCCAAGCAACTTTTTTTTTTCCATTGACCTACTTACCAAAATTCACAACTGAGCACCAGGCATGTTCTCCTCTCCCCCACCCCCCCCCCCCACCCCCAAACACACACACATATACACACACATTCTCCAATTGCCAAACGATGAGAATAGCGCTTTACAGGGTGTATTGTTTTTTTCTCAATGATTATGTTAACCTAAAAAGATATCGCAAGAAAGCTCAATAAGCAAGCGCATCGTGTGCGTTTCAAATAAAGCACTGAGCTGGGAATAACAGCTTGTATTTATATAGCCCCCCCTCGTCCAGAGTAGCGTCCAGAGTAGCTTAAGAATATACCCTCTCCCTGGGAGGAATATTCATTTTCTAGTTTTCTGTTCTGCGGGAATAACATCCCAAGTGC